TAAATTAAGATTGGTCTATGAACAAATAATGTGATCTCGTGATATGAATGTATCTTCAGACTGTACCATCGGTTTTGGAAGACAATTTACACATTATAGGGAGTAAAAAGTACTCAAGTCGCTCCCAAACCGAAAAATTAAAGAACATGGTCACATTTAATTCATTTCACATTAAAGTAATATTACGGCGACGGTTTCCAGGATAAGATGAAAAAGGTGCGTTTCTGTGGTGCTGGAGGAAATTCCTCCCCCCACAACCTACTTGTGCAGGAAAAAACTTCATTTGTTTACTTTACTGTATTTGTTTACTGTAATGTTTCATTCTAAACTCTTGTGAAGGAAAACTCAATTTTTCAGAAGGTCCGTTCCTCTAAATAAATAAAAATGCAGCGGTTGGCTAGGCAATGTTCCAAAGATTATCGCAGTAAAGCAGAAGATGGGACGTTAGTCCCCTAGAATATGCTGTTTGGCATAATTTTGAAGCGGATTCGTGTCAGAAACGGCACTGTAATATTGATGTAGACAAAACCAATCAAATAAGCTATCAACAAGTTTACATTTAACTACTAGTGTAATGATGAGTAACATAAAATTCTTCGTCACTATATTGCCAGAGGGGCAATTAATTCGAATATGGATGAGTTTATTCCTAAATAATTTCAGAATATATGAACATTGATGTATTTGCGAAATTTTATTTACTGTTTATAAACACTAGAAGAGTAGGAGAGCTTTTTTCAGATTTAAATACTTACTCTCTCGCTTCCATTAATTAACCATTTCCTTAAAATTAAAAAATAACGAATGTGTTATAGAAAATAATATTTGAAGAAAACTTCAATACAACCTCGTAGCTGTAAAGCTGTAGCTGTGATACTTTACAAACTAGATTTGATAAAGAAGTATGTTTGGGTCCAGTATATTGGGTTCAAGGGGTTTAAAAATCGTTATAAAATACAATTAAAGATCACTAAAAAAGATTATTCTGTCACAAACATCTCGTATTATGCATTTCTCTATTATCTAATATAACATATGTACTGTATTATCTAGTGTTAATTAATCTACATACCTCTATAAGCAAGAGATAAATAATATATACATTGAATGCAGCAACAATTTTAACGCGAATGTAAAGAAAATACAACAATCAGTGAACTCTATAACCGAATAATCACATCACGCCTGAACTAGATACGTTTATTTAGTGGTAGAAATATAATATTTGTACCATTAAGTATATACACGTAGTAATTACGAACAATTTTATTGTGAAAAAAAACAACAACATAAATTATTCCAATTTTTAGTAGTATCTCACAATCCCTGTAATTATTTTATTATACAGAACGCTATTATTTTAAAGAGTTCGATCAAATGTAAGAGTTCACTCTTTGAGACGACAGATAATTTGTCACACACCATTCATTCCAAGTAAATATATTTGTTAAATATATCACCGAATATCACTAAGCTACGTCAAAATAGGCGTCAAAGTGGGTACTTCTCAAAAGAAAGCATTTCATTGGGGTGCCTAATTGATGAACTAGACTTTCACCGAACAAAAGCCAGTCACAAAACTACACATACACACGCCCACCAAAAAAAACGACCGTAATGGAACAAGCAAACACTCGGAAAGAGTGCAGATAACGCAGCGCGTCAGATTCGCGCCAGAGAACTCGTGAGCAATGGGAGCGGTGCGCGCCGTTCCCTCGCGGCGCACACAAGTTCGATACAATTTTCGCGACGCTTTGTTCGCGTTCAGATTGGAGGTAAATGGGGCGGAGAACGAGTCGACTGTCAAGAATAATCGCGATTTTCTGAGAGAGTGATCAAAGGCGGCTTCACAACGCAGGTAGCCGGGGTGCGCGTGCGTCCTGGGTTTGAAAGCGAAAAGAGGAATGAAAGGTTTCCGCCGCTTTTGAAAGCGCCAACAAGAGCGAGAGAGTCCCGGGCCGAACACTATTTACTGCGAAATTAAAAAGTCATCGTCGGACGAAAATCGTTCGTCGTCCGGTCCCCGCAAGGAGGGGTGTAAAAATGAGAAAAACGCTCTGTACACGGGGTTATTACTTTCTCTCTGCACGTTCCTGGATTCCTTGACGAGAAAGCTCATATTCTCTTTAACAAGCTGTGCAAAAACACGTGTTGTTTTCGTGTTTTATAGATTGTTAGCTTTTTTTGAGAAGCAAAGTCATGGAACATACGGGTGTTGGGTTAGAAATGGATTGTAATGTTCATCTGACGTAGTCTCATTCTCTGTCATTAGACTTAAAGAATAAATTTTAAATGTTTGAGTCAGTAAAATATTTTTTTAAATAAGAAAGTTATCAAACTTTTATGAAAGTAATCATATTTAACCAACTTCTACAACACAGTCATTGATGCTAAGAGACATTTTCTCCGCGAATTAACTTTTCAAATATTACAACTTCAAGTAATACCATTTACAATACGTAAATATATGCCAATAATATGCCAATACAATATATAAAAAACTGCAAATGTTTGCGTAATATGTAGTCAATTTGCAACAATTTTCAAAAATTCAATCTACATGATTTACACGAAAACGACTCCGAATTCCTCCTGTAAATGCGTGACAAAAATATCGTGGCAAACACGCAGAAGACTGGGAAACACGCGGAGAATACATGGGACAGACTGGAAACAGGTTTATTATTTCGTGAGTTGAAATCTCCACAAAGGGGCCATTTGATGCTTGAATCATCGTTATGGAAGTTCATTTCTTGAGAATTCGATCTATCTGTAGCATGAGTGGACAGAAATTTTCACCATTCGAAATATATGTAAATTGAATCCGAAATATATGTAAATTATTCCCAGTAGTTTATTAGACAAAATATGGTGAAAATCGTCTGAAGAGCTTTTTTGCGAAGATTCGACGATTCCTTCCTGGACACATCAGCTTATAAGCTCTATAAGTGTTAGTTTTCGGTACGTTTTAGGTTATCTTTTTCATTTTTTGTTTTAAACGATCCTAGAACGTTACAAATTGCTCAATACTATACACAAATCCCTCTATTTCCGATTTTTTAACAAGCATATTGCAACCTCGACTTCCTAAACCATTTTACGGAGCATGCAACCCCCGTCCACGCTTCCACCCACGCCTCGGACCACGCCACCATCATTCCACTGCACTACCATTGCTTTTATCAAACCACCGCTCGCGCTACCGTCCTCCCTTCACCACCCACACCAACGCCCGTTCACTACCACGCCACTATCCCTGTCACCACTACGTATCTTACCGCTT